TGTATGTGTGGAAATAGTTTTGTTGCAAAGCAGAGGTAGAAAAGTTGAAGAACAGTACCCTCTCCTGGCCTGGAGAGCAAGATGAGATTTTACTCACAACCAACGTGTGATGTACTATCTGTGCTTGAAAAAACACAAAAGACTCAAATTTGGGAACAAAAACAGTCAAGTTAATCAGCACTAACATACTGCTGTGCCCATATTAAGTAATCTGAAATTAATTGAAGAAACAAGGAATAAAAATAACAGAACCAGCTCATTCTCATTTCTTGACAATCACATTCTGCGGGTTTAACAGCAGAAGATCACTGTGAGGCCTCCCAGCTGTGAATGTGTTAAAGCAGCTGAAAAACAGAACTCCTGCTAAATCATTCTCCAGATAAATGCAGGCTGAGAGCAAAGACTGCTTTCATTTAAACATTTCCAGCCACATGTATGTCAGCCTTAAAATGGCACTTTAATGTTCTATCCAATAAGTGAGCATATATTATTATATCTAAATAAAGCTATTAAGGAAAGAGTCTGCCCTGAAGCACGTTACACCAGCTATCCATAATATATTTAATCATATAAGAAATTCACATGTCCAGCCACATGGTGTAGTATTGTCAAACAGAAACATCAAATTTACCCACATCGAAGATAGTCTTTAGACAAAGTGACTAAGACGCAGGTCACAAGGATTCTGGCTAATAATTTCTGCTTTTACACCATTAAAGAAAAAGGCTAGTGTATTCTATATTTTTATGATGGTTAACAAATCCCATGGAAAGACCAAAACCACCAATAGTTTCTGACATCCCTTACCTGTCTGTGGATCTCAACACCGAACCCAGTGATTCCTACTGAAGACATATATCTAAAAAATAAAGGGGGCCATAAAATCAAAGTTTCATGTTCAAAAAAGGTTCTGTAGTTTCCTAAAAAAGCTGGTAACTTTCTAGCAAAGGTGGTTCCCAACTGGATCTGCCATGGGGTCCACATTTCTCTCAGTCATTAGTTTAAGGTCCACAAAGTCTAATACATTGAGCGTCATACTTGCTTTTGGCCATGTCTTGGACTTACAGCAGTTTTCAAGTCACTTGCGGGCCGTTCAGAGTGTACTGTACCTGCGCCCCACCAGTTGGGAACCACTGTTCTGGCAAACATTACTTAAAAGGAAGTAAATAGCAAATTTGTTAGGGACTATTTTCAGATGCGGATGAATACCTATTTGGTGCTCTAGTTAGGGGTTATATATGGCACTAGGTGGGTTTATAGGAATGAATCAAAACAAACTACAGTTCCCATGGTGGTTGTGAGGTTACATGCCACAATGTGTTTTTAATAGTTTTTGGACAACAATAGACGTCATTGGCTGCGAAGACTAAGTTATATCAGGCTTTGGCTACACAGACAATAGTTATTCAGAGGCTCAGTTCCTTGTTGGTTCTTGTCTTTTCATGAGGATTTGTTGACAACAGGGAAACTGAAGAATATCACCAGCCTTATCATTCAAAGAGCAACTGATACATTTTGCATGTAAAAGTCTGCATCGCCTTCATATGCCTCACTCAACGGTCTGTAACTTTTATGCTCACAATGCTAAATTTCTGACATGACAAAAATCCTTTAGATCGTCCATGAGCCTGCTCGTTGATCGTTCAAGTGTTGTGACCTCTCTCAGAAAGCCGTTGTACTCAAGATTAGTCCTGGTCTTGAGACCGGTCTCGAGACAATTACTTTAAGGTCTCAGTCTCATGTCGGATTTGACAACATTTTGACATGGTCTTGTCTCAGTCTCAGATAAAGAGGACTCTGGGTTTTATTTCAAGACCAGTCTAGACCACAACTCAACGATGTCACTGTGCTTAATGAAGATGGTTAAGTTGGTTTCAGCTACTTAATGTTTGTATTTGTTTGTTAACAGAAAAAAGGGACAATTCTGTAACATAAACTTCATCTCTACGATGCCTTTTCATTATTTTATTGAGACATTTTTCATGGTACACTTTTCATACATGCATAAGCGCAGTATAGCAATAAAAAAGGTGGATAAAGAGGGATCTTCGTTTGTTTTCTGTGGGTGTTTTTTATGAGAATGTGGATGTTGCAGATTCATTTGAGTTGTGCCTATGATATGCATGTTTCACATTTTATTGTTGTGCAATGTGGGACTTGCACTGGTTAAGTTCTAAGTCTTGACTCGCTCTCAAACCCTCAAAGTCTTGGTCTTGTCTCAGTCTAGACACACTCTGGTCTTGATTTGTCTTGACTACAAAAGATCAAATGACAAACAATCTGGCAGACATTCAGCCTAAACTAGTCCGGGGCGACCAAACTGGGCCACAGTGTCAGCCCAGCTTAACTGAAAATAGATCATGCCATTGCGTCAAGATAATTCTATGTCTTAGACAGAAATCTACAACTAATCTAACAATTTGAAACCTGTTAAAGTCAGATGTTAGTGTCAGTTACTCTGGAACATAGAGGCAGAATATATAACATGCACAGGGTCAGGACTTCCCAGTGTCTCAGTACCAACAGCAGCTGAAACACACCGGATTGCACTAAAACCAAAACAGTCAAAAAGGGAACTAAAAAAGAAAACATATTGTCTTACTTTTAATAATATAATAAACTTCATGACTTTCTTCACCTGCATGTAAAACTTCATTAATACACGCTACAGGCTGACACAGTAGTACATAAATCATGCAGACAGAAGAAGCGACAACAACAGAAAGTCACTTACAACTTCTCATTCTAAAATAACTCATAGACTCATATCATACAATTATCCCAGAGTTTAAGAATGTGTTTTTTCTAAGAGGCTACTGGTTGCACAGTTATGATCCAGTTCAACAATGCAGAGGATTACCAAAACTTCCCAACCACTGACAACCTCCCAAAGGACCAATGACAGCCCTCATAACTGAACCCCTAAAAGCGAGCCTGAGGCGACAGTGATCTAGGGAAGCTTGTGTCTCTGGTACAGACTGCATTTTCTGTTTGACCTCCTTTTTTAATAGACATTAGCTGAAAAGTAGAGTCCTTTAAGTAGCACAAAGACTCAGTGAAACTTTCTTATGACAGGCCATGCTAAGAACACTGTCAACTTATGTTTTACCCCAAAAGACATGAGGAAGCTTTTGTGAAACATGTCTGTGTCTGTTACGCTTACACAAAAGAATATGGATACTCTTTACATATTCATCTATAAAGGCACTCTTCTGAACCAGTTGTAACTAAAGTTTGAGTTAGATAACATTTTTATAGAATCTGGATCCAGTATCAAATCTCTTGTTTTTTTGTCAATAAAAGAGAGAAGAGATACAGTAAAATATTCATTAAAGCTGCATCAATCAATATTCTTATATGAACAATAATAGTTTCCTCAAAACAGAGCCAAAGGAGGTTGAACATTGGACTTACATTCACCATGTGGCTAGAAACACGACTCCAAATCCATGATAGTTTTTAAACTTTGTAAAGGCCTGGACACACCAAACTGACATCAAAGAACTAGTGGTGACGAAAGTCAGCTGTAGCCTCACCTTACATTTCCTGTGTCTCAGCCAAAAAGTTGCACATGTACACACAGCAAAGACTACAGCCACCAGCCAACCAGCACATATGCTCTGCGCTGATGTGAGAGGAAATAACTCGCCACACCAGCAGGCAGTGGTAGTCTATGATCGTCATTAAAAAGGGGAACCGGAAGACTTTTGTGATGCTAGTTAGCCAGTTAGCACATTCACAAAATGATCTGATGTTGAAAGAATATAGCATCTTTCCTGCTAGAGAGCTCAATGGCTGAAGAAAAATAATCTTACCTTATGTACCACATTTGTTTTAATCTCACACCCTCTTGACTTCAGTTGTTTGTTTACTTTCCTCACTTCCATTTCTCTTCTTGTGTGCCATGCTGAACTGCCAATCAGAGTGATTTCATTCACCGGTGGGCTCTGCCATGTCCAAAACCTATTGTAACTGTAACCCAGTTTATTTTCTGCAGTTACAAATTACAGATAACCCCTAGCAGACTATACGTAGGTGTTAAAATTTACTGATGTTACCTAACTGTCTCATACGCAGGCTACTGCTACTGGTAGCAATAGCTGATTGTTACGTCCAGCAACTCCACAATTCAGCCTCTAACAACCATGTTACTTAAAGCTACTGTTTAAGAATTATAGAATACATTTATTAATCAGAGCACTCACACAAGAATATAGCACTAGGAAAGTGCTAAGTATTTTTTGAATTTATGAACAATTCTCTTTCAAAATCAGTGGAGGGAGGCTTGCAGAAACAGCAACTGCAGCATGTCTGGTGCACACACCTCCTTTGTCACCTAATGTTACACCCACGTGGGCAAAACAAGTGCAGAAAGAATTTATTTATTCCAACCAGAGATAAATGATCTAATTAAACGTTAACATGGTTATTTAACGCTAATATTTTCCTATTGAACTGATTACAGTGGAGTTTACACCATCACAACCTGATTGAAAATTCCTTCAGATCTGGCCAGTATCTTCCAAGTGAGATGGATACATGAGGCATTTTTACTCTGATTATTAGTAGAATATTAGGGTTCATGTAAACACACCTAATGTCATGTTTGCAGCTTGTTGCACTCCTCAAGTGTCCATAAATAATTAAATAAAATATACAGGTTTTACGTGAGATTAGAGACTCACTTGATGAATCTGGGTTTCTTACAAACCTGGAACCAGTTAAAGTCAGCTATCAGAACACAACCAATGTTATAAAAATAATAATAATAATAATATAGTATAGTGGTATATGTATTGTGGTAAATTTATTGTTATTGGGGTATATGAGGGGGTATTTATAGCAATAGCTATAAACTCTTTGTGCAACACATTCATCTCATACCCTGTACTGGAACCAGGTCATTTATATTTCTTACATAATAAATGTCCCCCCTGAAGTTCCGTAAGTGTAAAACCAGTGTCAGTATGAGTGAGTTCCTGGTGTGTGCAGTGCAATACCTCCTCCTGGTCCAACATGTAGACCTGATTTCCGGCGCTCACACGGAGATGGGGGTTCCAGCGGTCGTGGTGTGGACGGTCGTGTGAGGGGCGGTCGTAGATGGGGCGCTCGTGCGAGGGACGGCTGTAGGCGGGACGGTCGAAGGAGGGACGATCGAAGGAGGGACGGTCGTAGGAAGGACGGTCGTAGGAGGGACGGTCGTAGGAAGGGCGGTCGTAGGAGGGACGGCTGAAGGAGGGACGGTCGTAGGAGGGACGTTCGTGAGCAGGACGGTCGTAGGAGGGAGTGTGGAAGGAGTGGGCGTGGGTGCGATGATGGTGATGATGATAGGAGGGGGGGACGGCAAACCTTGCATCTGGACAGGAGAGAAGAAGGAAGGAAGGGGGGGAGAGGGAGGAAAGAGAAGGTCAGTTAGGATCATCGGTAGGAGGGCTGTGGTGCTGTGACACATGTCCGTCCTCATAACATCAGTGTCAGGTGTCATTACAGTGTGTTTGAGAGGTCTGCTTGAAAGAGGTCATCAGACGTTCATTATAATGAGACAATGCAGCACAATGCTAGAACCAGCACCTGATTCTGGGGTGTTACATAATAATAATAATAATGATAAAGCATCTAGAAATTGCCTGGTTCAAAGAATAGTCTGATATTTTGAGAAATTTGATCATTCACGTTCTTGAGTTAGGGTTAAATGACAAGACCGATGCCACTCCCCTATTTGTCCCTGTATGAAGCTACGTCCAGGAAATGATTAGCTTAGCTTAGCCTGGAAACAGCTAGCCTGGCTCTGGCCAAAAGGCAGGATAGTCCAGCACATAACCTCCCAAAAATCCACAACCTTTTGTTTTTACAATTCCACTTTTGTTCACATTTAAAAATCAAAATATAAATTATGCATCAAAGGTGCTTGTACACATTTTTTTTACCTTTGGAGAGAGCCAGGCTAGCTAATTCCCTGTTTCCAAGCTAACTGTTTCAAAATATAACAGTGGAGAGTGGTACTGAGCTTTTCATCCAACAAACTCAATAAAACAAGGAAACATATTTCCCAAAATGCTAAAACTATCCAAGGGTTACAAGGTTTGTTGTTTGTCATGCTGCAATACAGGGTTGCAAAACAAAATGCGAGTAGCAGTCCCTTCATGCTACACAAGAGAGTACGGAGGATGAGTTGAGGAGTCTTACATCCTGAGGAAAGAAGCTGCTCTGTAGTCTGGTGGTAAGGCAGTGGTAACTTCTGTGTCTGTATCACAGCAGGGTGAACAGGCTCCTTTAAAAAAGGCAAAATACTGTACTGATACAAGCCTTTAAAGGGACAATTCAGCCCAAAATCAGAGACACATATTTTTTCCTCTTATTTGCAGTGCTATTAATCCGTCTAGATTGTTTTGGTGTGAGTTGCCGAGTGTTGGAGATATCAGCCGTAGAGATGTCTGCCTTCTCTCCAATATAAAAAACTAGATGGCACTCAGCTTGTGGTGCTCAAAGCGCCAAAAAAATACATTTGAAAAACTCAGCAGCAATGTCTCTTTCCAGAAATCATGACCCAGTTACTCAAGATAATCCACAGACCTTGTTGTGTGCACTGTTACATAGGGACTATTTTCTCTCTACAAAACTACACCCGCCAAACGAATCACTGTGCAGAAGGAAGCGTGCATTGACCCATGGACGAGAGGCTCGTGCTTGTGACAGCGCGAGATACAAACATTAATCGCCTCCTGCCAGGCTGAGCTGTAACATTAGCTAGCTCAGTGGCGCTAGGTGAGCTAGCAGTAGATGTTATTTTATGCAAACCGGCTGAACCTGCATTTGGCATTATGACATATTCTTGCAAATTAAAAAGGTAGCAACCTGTGCTGACGGCATCATGGTGCTAAATCTAACTTGTATTGCATTATTAAAAGCAATATGACAATGTGATTAATATAGCATGTTCATAAACAGACAACCTGAGCCACTAGTATCTGACAGGCCGTGTGTAATTTATTGCTGAGCCCAGGCCTGCGCCAAGATCAAATTTCAATAGAGGTGTGTTCATTTACTTGAAAGTTCATGTGTTTTTTGGGGTGACGAAGAAGAAGCATGGCAGAGAAAACAAACTTTTTGATGTGAAGCCAACAAAAGAGGTGTACTAACTAGCTGCATGTGCTGTTTTGAGCTCAATCTTTGCCGCATGCCGTGTTTCCATTTATTCCTGTCACTTGCTTTAAAAGCGCCATTGATTCATGAAGCTGAAATGAGGAATTATCTACACAATTCCTTCTTATTTCACAACAAAGACCTAAATAACATGAAAATCGGCTGGTGAGAGAACTGGGCAGCTAAAAGTTCCTGGTAAGGTAAATGACCATCGCTATTAACAAGCTATAGGCTACTTGCTGTTGGCTATATTGTATGTCAACTCCAATTAATATCAGAATATAAAATGTGGGGGCATTTTTTAAGATTTTGTGGGCTTTTTAGCCTTTAATGTATAGGACAGACAAGTGTGAAGGGGAGAGAGAGAGGGAGTGACATGCAGCAAAGGGCCACAGGCCGGAGTCGAACCCGGGCCGCTGCTGCAACAGCCTTGTAGCCTACATGGGGCGCCTGCTCTACCACTAAGCCACCAGCGCCCAAAAATGTGGGTTTTTTTGTATTAAAAAGTAATGTTACCAACACAGGAAGACAGCGAATAGGCCACTCAGGCATCTTTTAAGTGGTTACGTCTCCAGTCTCAAGCACACAACATATATATTCCTGGTCTGTTTACATGACATGACAGAAGAACATATTAATGGATTCAGTGTGGACAGAGAGCTCCAATATTTCGCAATGATGCTTGATCGTCAGACGCCAGTCTTCAGTTGGGACATTATGTGCCACTCAGGGGCTGCTGCTGAGTCAAGTGGGACACCTGTTAAAATTCGGTATACCGGTCACTTTTAATATCAAGCTGCCCCAGTTCCTACATGAAGCTGCTCACAACGAGCAGGTCATGATTTCTGGAAAGAGATTTTGTTGTTTTTAAAGTGTATTGTTTTGTGAGCACCACAAGCCGCGTGCCATCTAGTTCCATTATATTGGAGAGAAGGCAGACATCTCTTTGGCCGATATCTTCAACGCTCTGCAACAATCTAGACTTATAAATAAAAATACAGGTCAGAGGAAAAATATGTATTTTTCATTTACGGCAAACAGGTTAACTTCTCATAATTTCCTATCACTGGTTCAGAGGAAATGTCCTTATTTTCCCTTGCCCTTGTTTTCCTTACCTCAATCCCATCCACACAAACTGTCCTGAGAGAAATGTAATGTCTCACAGGACTGAGAAAGGCAAAGAGACATTTGGGCTTCATTCATATGATAAAGGCACTTCATAGTGACTCTGCAAACACACCCTTTGGATGTGAAATCTATCTCTGTTAGCTTTATAGTCACAGCTAAAATGATAATTGTCTAATTGAAGAAGTCCTAGATCCAGCTCACCACCAAAATCTAATCATCTGCTCCTCAGCCTGAGGCTGTCCTGTCCAGCAAATTTAACAGAAATCTGTTTCCGAGGTTCCTGAGATATCCTGCTGACAGACAGACAGAGAAACTAAACCATAATCTCCTCGGTGGGGGTACACAATTATCTTTGACGTTATCCCTAATTCCGAGGATCAATCAAGAAGATGTGGAAAAAAATTAAAATTATATCTGAGGGCTCTGTGCCTTGGATAATTTAAGAAATTGATCACACAGTATTGGAGACATTAATATGGATTTTTTTTTACCCAGGTAGCTGTTTCACTTTGTTTTAAGTGAAAAATATGTGGCTAAGGACCTTTGGTAAATGGAGCACTTTGTCTTTTCTGTCTTCACTACTGTCCAGGTTTTCTGGCCTTATTGCACTGCTTTAATTTATGTTTTAACTTAAAGCTCCAGTGTGTAGGATTCAGGGGGATATATTGGCAGAAGTGAAATATAATATAATAAGTATGTTTTCCTTAGTGTATAATCGCCTGAAAAAAATAATCATTGTGTGTTTGGTACCTTAGCATGAGCCTTTTATATCTACGTAGGGAGCAGGTCCTTGTCTATGGAGAGTGCGATGTTGCACCACCATGTTTCTACAGTAGTCCAGAACAGAAAACCAAACACTGACTCTGGATAGGGCTATTTGCATTTTTGCGTTTTCGTGTCAGCCACTGTAGTTAGAAGCCCCTCCATGACAAGCAGCAATTTTTTGATACGAAACTGCTTTATTCAGTGTTTTTACCTGTTTAAATCCCCAGGTCTGTTTGTTTGGGAGATGAGGAGACCTCTGTGGATAATTCAGCTCCTGGTAAAAACCTCTTAAACATCTGCATCTTATAGTATCAGGGAAAAAAGGTGAGCACACATTAGCAGGTGCTAGGCTAACGGCCATCTGTGATATGCCAAACAGCATCGGAGAAACGCTAATTGTAAGGAGAAGCTGCTTAATTCTGTGTTTTTACCGGTTTAAATCACCTGGTCCATTTGTTCTGGAGAGGAGGACACCTCTGCAGGGAATTCGGCTCACAGAAAAAAAAAACCCTGAACGTCTTGAATCCTAAGTTATCATGGGAAAAAAAGGTGAGCACACATTAGCAGGTGCTGGGCCAGTGGCCTGTCTTTGACATGCTAATTAGCGTTGGACCCAACATTGATTTGTAACATTAAAGTGCTTTATGCAGTGTTTTTACTGGTTTAAATCACCTGGTCCATTTGTTTTGGAGAGGAGGAGACCTTTATGGATAATTGAGCGACCGGTTAAAACCTCCTGAACGTCTTGGATCACAAATATGGTGAGCACACATTTAATTTATCAGAGAAAAATGGTAAGCACACATAGGCATGTGCAGGGCAAGCGGTCCGTCTGAAATGTGCAGAAACACAGATTTGTGACGTCAAGCTGCTTTTTTCAGTGTCTTACCGGTTTCAATCACCTGGTCTTTTTGTCTTGGAGAAGAAGAGACCTCAGTGGATAATTCAGCTCTCGGTCAAAACCTCCTGAACAATGAACGAAGGAATTCTAAATTTGGAGAAGTTTCAGCTGGTTGCAATCTGCAGTCCTCACTGCTAGATGCCACTAAATCTCCCTATGTCTTAAAGGGATAGTGCACCCAAAAATGAAAATTCAGCCATTATTTACTCACCCATATGCCAAGGGAGGCTCAGGTGAAGTTTGAGAGTCCTCACAACACTTGCAGAGATCCAAGGGGAGAGTGGGCAGCAGCACAACTCCACCTAATGGAGGCTTACAGCGCCCCAGATTCAAACGTCCAAAAACACATAATAGAAACCACAAAATATCTCCATACTGCTCGTCCGTAGTGATTTAAGTGTCCTGAAGCCAGACCAGTG